AAACTCTAAAAAGCATAGGAATAGCAGATCTATGGAGCAACTACCACTTTCAGACCTGACATGCTAGACAGGTTACACTCAAGGATCACTGACTGGCAGAAAAGCCACACTGGGGGAACTTACTGGAAATCTGTCCTCTGAGGTGCCTGGGAAACCTTGATGAAGATTGACTGAAATTTTTGTCTTCACTTTTTTTTTGAGTCGAAGTTTCAATCTATTGCCCAAGCTGGAGTGCAGTGACACACTTATGGCTACTGCAGCCTCACCCTGCTGGACTCAGGCGATCCTTCTGCCTCAGCCTTTCAAGTAGCTGGAACTACAGGCACGTGCCACCACACCTGGCTAATTTTTTTGATTTATTGTAGAGATGAGGTCTCACCAAGTTGCCCAGGCTGGTCTTGAACCCCTGGGCTCAGGCAATCCTCTCACCTCCGCCTCCCAAAGTGCTGGGATTACAGGTGTGAGCCACCATGCCCAGCTTGTCTTCACTTTTAATGAAAGTGTCAGGCTCAATATAAACCTAGATTATAGCAAGTGGAAATGAAGTTCCTCTAAGTAAAACCATCAGTTCAATAAAAACTGTAGAGGCAGGAACAGGAAATATGAAATACCAGGAGAAACCAGTTGTCTAAATGGCCTCTTCATACCTTCACCTACACTGCATATTCCATCTTGAAGTTCTCCAGGGCCTCCTCCTGGAGTCAAAACTGGACTGGCTTCCTTGGACTGGGACCTAGCAGTTATCCTGGCACCATCCTTCACCATTACCTGCATTCTCTTCACTTCCTGTTTTTGATCATGACTTTGTAGTATCTAGAATCTTCCACTTTCTTGATTTACTCCTTTGTTTTGTTGGGGCACATGTTCCAACAGCGTTCCGAGAAAGGTTGTGTGGGGCATAATTTGTTTGTGACTTTGTAAAGCTGAAAAGTGTCTTCATTCTCTTCTGTTTTTTTTTTTTTTTTTTTTTAATTTGCTTTCTTTATTTCAATAGCTTTAGAGGGTACACATAATTTTTGGTTACATGGTTTGCATTGTAGAGTGGCAAAGAAGTCTGGTATCTAAGTGTACCCTCCAACCCTTCCCACCTCTTCCTGCTGAGTGTCCAGCATCCATTATATCATTCTCTGTGCCTTGCAGATCCTTAGTTTAGTTCCCACTTATAAGTGAGAACATGTGGTGTTTGGTTTTCTGTTCCTGAGTTAGTTGACTTAGAAAGATGTTCACCAGCTCCATCCCAAGTTGCTGCAAAAGACATTATTTCATTCTTTTTGATGGCTGATCTGCCATTTTGATTGATAGTTTGGCAAGTTATAAAAATCTCGGTTGGAAATCATTTTTCTTCAGAATTTTGAAGTCATTTCCCCTTTGTTATTTAATTTTCATTTAAGAGCATGATTCTTGATCCTTTCTGTGTATCCTATTTTTCTTTCTGAAAGTCTGTAAGAATGTTTCAATTTCAGTACCCTGAAGGATTATGAGATGCCTTGAGATGGATCTGTTTTCATCCATTGTTATAAGTACCTCCTTGGTAGTCTTCTCTTTTCTGCTGGGTGGACATTCCTACTTTTCAGATGTCCAACCTCCTGGACTAATCACCTGGTTTTCTTAACTTATCTCTCCTATTTTCTGCCTTTGTCCTTTTGTTCCCTTCTCTGAGAGGTTTCCTCAACTTTTTATTTTGACCTTACATTTAAATTTTTTTCCAATTATTAAAATTTTGTTATTTTTTTTTTTTGAGTTGGAGTCTCACTCTGTCGCCCAGACTGGAGTGCAGTGGCCACTCCTGGCCACCGCAGCCTCGACCTCCTGGGCTCTGGCGATCCTTCTGCCTTAGCCTTCCGAGTGGCTGGAACTACAGGCACATGCTACCATGCCCGGCTAATTTTTTTTTATTTATTGTAGAGATGAGGTCTCACCTGCCCAGGCGGGTCTCAAGCCCACGGGCTCAGGCAATCCACTCACCTCAGCCTCCCAAAGGCGCGGGATTACAGGCTGAGTCACCGAGCCTGGCTTTCTTCTGAGAATATTAATGAGTATTTTTCCTTGAACTTTTCATTTTAGCATAATCTTTACTTCCTCTAAGTTGCCTTTTTCCTCCCCCTGTTGGTTTTGGTTTCTGCCTTTTGTCTTTGTTAGATGTCTGATGAGCCCTGTTTGCTCAATTTATTTTTTATTTTACTTATCTATTTATTTATTTTTTTGAGTTGGAGTCTCACTCTGTTGCCCAGGCTGGAGTACAGTGGCATGCTCACGGCCACCACAGCCTCGACCTGCTGGGCTCAGGCAATTCTTCTGCCTCAGGCTTCCAAGTAGCTGGGACTACATACAGGTGTATGCTATCACATCCAGCTAATTTTTTGATTTATTGTAGAGACAAGGTCTAGTCAAATTGTCTAGACTGATCTTGAACCCCTGGGCTCAGTCCTCTTGCCTTCACCTCTCAAAGTGTCGGGATTAACAGGCATAAGCCACCACACCTGGCCTATTTTTATTTTATTTTATTTTTGAGTTGGAGTCTCTGTTGCCTGGGCTGTAGTGCTGTAACACAGTCATGGCTCACCACAATCTCTATCTCCCAGGCTCAGATGATTCTTCCACCTCAGCCTTCTGTTACTACAGCTGAAACTGCAGGTGCATGCCATGGCACCCAGCTAATTTTTAAAATATTTTTGTGGAGATGAGGTCTTACTGTGTTGCCCAGGTCCTGAACTCCTGGTTGTTTGCTCAGCTTTAAGAGTTCTAAAACAGGTTCTTATCCTGTGTGCTAAAAACCTATGTTGCAAGTGTGTGAAGATATTGATGGTGTCAGTCTGTCTCCCCAAGAGTAATACATTTTCTATGTGTGATGTGGCTTGAGGAAGTTTCAGGAAGTGCTGCTTCAAAATGTCCTGGAAGCTCAGGGTTTCACTGCTGCATGATCAAACTGGAACGTTTTCTTGGGGCAAATTGATGTCTATGCCATTGGGCCCATACCTTTGAGTTGATCATATCCTCCAGAAGAGTCTTCCACTTTCTTGCTTAGAGGATGTAAGTCTGGCTTTCAGCATTTTTGGAGCAAAGTTGGGAGGGAAATTCTGATAGTCCGGCATTCACTATGTCAACATCCTCTTAACTCTCTCAGTTTTTGATACAATATACCTGCTCTCCAGCGTGCTTGTTACCCCTCTATTCAGACACCCTTCGTTTATGTGCTTCAGAATATAAGTCACTTCTCATCCTCGGGAGCTAGGGACAGTCTTATTAAACTGTACGTGGGAGTTGTATATACACATGGAGGAAGAGTCTGGAAATTTTGCTGTTTCTCAAGACTTTGTCAACAGTTCTATTTTTAGCTTATCTTATACCCCTCCTTCCATAGCTACCCCGCAGTACCAGTTCCTGAGCATTGGGGAGGTCTTCAGCTATTTAGGCTGTGACTGGGCTTTGCTCACTGCCAAATGAGGATTAAGCTTCCTCAGATATTCCAAGTCAGTTACTCTTGTCTTTTCTAGCATATGCAGTTTGTTAATATCATTTTCTGTTCTTTTTGTATTCAATCTACCAAAAGTCTGACTCTTTATTAACTTTATTATAGAAATCTGAATGCCAAGGATGAGTTTAAATGTTTGTTTCTAAGACTTCCTCCTGGTATCTATCAGTACTTGGATACCAGCGTTTGAAGGTGTGCTTTTCTTTTCTTGAAAATCATGGTTATTAGGTAGCAGTTAACATGATGCTACAACTGAGATTTAACAGAGTTGTAATTTATGCCAGCACCATGTTTCAAAGTTATTTTAAAATTTGACTTAAATATGTTTTTTAAACTTAAATTTTCTGGCAAAAAATATCAGGTATATGTTTTAGATCTTGGTAAGGTACAAATTCTTAAACAAAACACAAAAGGCATTGACTAGGAAAAATTGTTCTTCAAATTGTTCATCACTTTTAAAAAAGTCTTTTAAAAAACAGTTTATGTCTGCCAAAGGATTCATAACAAGAATATATAGATAACTCCTGCACCTCAATATGAGGACAATTAATTTTAAAAAATGAACAAAAGGCATAGACTGAGCAGATGTTTAGCAGAAGAGGAAACATGTGACCACAAACATATGAAGAGATAGTTAGCACCTGGGTAGTAAGGGATACCCAGAGAACAGCCCCAGGACATGCCCTGTTTCACTCACTCGGCAAAACTTGAGAAGTGGGACGGATTCAAATGTTGTAAAGTCTGTGAATCCACAGATGTCCTTGCACACGCATAGCAGATGGGGCTGTAAACTGCTCCACCTACTTTGGAGAATAATTTAGCATAATTCTACTCCCAGAAGTAAGTATGCAAGGGAAATTCTTTTACACAATGCAAAAGGAGATGTATACAGTAATAGTCATAGCAGTACTGTTCACAATATCTAGACCCGGAAACAACCTTGGAGGCCCATCAGCAGGAGAGTGGGACATTGCACAGCAGGCCAGTGTGATGTGCACACTTTTGTAAAATTCAAAACAACTTAAAATTTAAAATATATGTATCTTTCATGCATGTAATAATGAAAAAGAAAGCAGGGGAAAAAATTGAATGTGGAATTTAGGATACCAGTTCTTTAAGGTATGGAAGCAAGAAGGATGGATTGGTGGGGAGGAGAAGAAGCAGGTCATTGTCAAGGTCTTAGCTGTTGTTTCGGATGGCAGGTTTGGGATGTTATTGTAGGTTAATTAGATAATTAAATACCTTAAAAAATAAGCCTGGAGGGATTTCCAAGGTGAAATAGAGATTCATGCTCACATGGATCTTAGTGCTTTGGTCGTCTGTTTTGTTTTTTAAGATGTAGCATTTTGAATCCTGGGACCAGTGTTTTATAGTTGAAAGCTGTAAAAATATATAACAAACTAAATTTTCTAGGTGGGGGTTCATACACTAATAAATACCATATACTTTTATAGAGTTTTTAGTGCATAAATATTTATAGCTATTTCTGTTCTTTCATAGAAATTTTACATTTTTTTCCCTTTCTTAGGACAAAGTTAAACTATAATCCTCCAAAAGATGATGGATCAACTTATAAGATTGAACTTGAAGGGATATCGGTAATGGTTATGAGAGAGATCCTGGATTACATCTTCAGTGGGCAGGTATGATGAGAACAAAGGAAGGAGGACCTAAGTAGAGACTTCTTAAGCTCAGGGTGAGGGTCTCCTTTCATCCATTGTATGATACAGCAACACTGTCATCTCCATCTTCTGTCATTGTGTGCTTTGACGGGTATCTCCTGCTGGGAGTAGCACCCCATGTGTGTTCTTCTGGGGCTTTGCCCCTGAAAGAGATGCAGACAAAGTGAGCTCTTAGGCCAAATCCCAGTTTTTGGTTTCCCCATCCTAAGCTCCACCTTCCAATATGGGGTGGGAAGAGCGTGGGATGCTTCCTTCACTGCTGGCAGTTTGCTTTTGAGTCTCAAATCCAGTCTTGCTCTGTATCTATACCACTGGGGGTCCTAAACTTGTACCATCTCCAGAGCAGGGAAATAGGAGCTTCCTTGGGCATTATGGATTCGTTTGTAGAAAGCAAGAGTTCCTTGTAGATCATTCCCAAGAAAGGGGAGTCATGCACTTGACTGGCACCCTTATTATATCCATGATGCCCTGGTTCTGCTGCCTCAGTAGTACTAATCCTGCCCTACCCCATTCTTTCTCCCCGAGTTCCCTTTTCTCTCTGTGCTACTTACACGTCTGGAGACTTAATGATACACAGGGAAGAAAGGGCTTTCCTTTGCCTTTCTCCGGCCCCTTCATTCCCCATCATGTGATTTAAACTATGACTGGAGTTCGCCTAAGAAAAACCTTAGGTGTTAACCAGGGTCTTACTAGAAGGAGGAGGTTAGCATATCTACGTTGGTTATGTGAGAATGTGTTTCATCTTTATTCTCTTTGAGGTCTTGTTTCCTGCATCGCCTTTGTTCCTTCTTCATCACTCTTGTTTTACTTTTCCTTTTGTAGGGGCTGTTTCTCCTACATATTTTCTGAGTATTCTGAGTCTATTGCTTTCTTTGTCTAAATATATTCATTCTGTCCAGAGTCAAACTCAGTGATTCTCAGCCTTTCTGAAGTTTGATACGATTTCATGATTTTATTTATTTATCTTTTCTCTAATACTAGGAGGTGGGTGTATGTGTGTGATTGTTAAAAATAAATGAATTTAAATTAATTTGGGGACAGCCCTTAAAATACTAGAGATACTCTGTAGTATCACAAAACCAGGCCTGAGAGCAGCCCCTTGTATAACTTGTAAAGTCAATTCAATAGGAGTTATTAGTATAACGAGTCATAAGCCAATAAGAGCCTATTCATGTTCAGGCTTGGATGTGAAACTTGAAACCTTATTTACAGCTTGACTTCTGTGGTTCATTCCCAATATAAAACCATAGTTGCAATGTAAGTTATAACAAACTCCTGAATTGGCAGTTTACTTTTATTGAGATGCAATTTAGTGTTTTTTCATGTGCCTATATTTGAATAGACTACAGCTGTCTGCTGTCTTGTGGCTAAATATAATGTCATATAAGTGGAAAATTTTCCCTTACTCGTGGCTTACTGAACATGCTACTTTCCACATTTTTATTGCTCAGTTTCTAAGATGATTGGCAATTATGTGTAGTTTTTGTATCTGTGGTACAAAGTGTCAGTCAAATGTGGTAAAAAACATTTCTTGCTGTACTCTTCGTGAAATGTCATCTCCTTTATATTTCCAGATGAGGGTAAAGTGCCATGCTTTGCGGGAGACCACTTGGGATTGGGAAAGTATTTTAGAGACTCCTTTCTTTATTGTTGCGTGGAAAAGCTGTGAAGTGGTTGGAGGAAGAAGCATCAGTCAGAAAATTGGTGGAAATTAATGAAAAGTAAACGTTCATAATGAGAAAAAGACCCTTATGTTAGGGATTTATACCAAAAAGTAGCTCTGAGACCACGTTGTATCTGTTGGCCAGGCTGCACTATGTGGGGTGTTTGGGATTCAGAGTGAGGCTTCTGGGGCGATCCAGGGCCCTCTCCTTCAAGGGGCTGCCATTCAGCTTGGCATTCTGTTCAGCAGAAGTGGAACTTAAGGAATTGGGAAGCAAGGTCTTCACCGTTTCTGGTTGGTACGGGTGTTTAAAGAAATCACTCTCAACTTCTGACAGAATACAGAACTTTCCATTTCCTAAGCATCTCGATCATTAAGGTTTTCTCTAAATTATAGAAGTGAGCTGCATGGACGGTTCACCTTAGAAGGGTTATTGGTGGTTAGCATTGTTACAGCAACGGAAGAGCTGGGGACACACATTTGCTTGTATTGGCCCCAAGGCTACTTGGTGCTCTGAGACTCTCAAAAAACTGTGCTAAGTTGAGCCATATGAAATTGCCAATATTTGATCATCTTTGATCTAAAATAAATGGAAATTTCATGTGGCTCAGCCTAATAGATTAGTAGTTTGGGTTTTAAATATATACATCTAAGTACAAAATATTTTATTATGCTCTTCCAGATCAGGCTAAACGAAGATACAATCCAAGATGTCGTGCAGGCGGCAGACCTGCTACTGCTGACAGACCTTAAAACTCTGTGCTGTGAGTTTCTAGAAGGCTGCATCGCCGCTGAGAACTGTATTGGTATTCGTGACTTTGCACTACATTACTGTCTGCATCATGTTCATTACCTTGCCACGGAGTATCTGGAAACTCATTTCCGGGATGTCAGCAGCACAGAAGAATTCCTAGAGCTGAACCCTCAGAAGCTTAAAGAAGTCATTTCTCTCGAGAAATTAAATGTTGGCAATGAAAGATACGTATTTGAAGCAGTAATTCGATGGATAGCACATGATACAGAAGTAAGAAAGGTACCTGTCATTTATATCTAAATATACCTGTCATTTATGTCTAAAGTTGTCTTTTTACTTATTTTTAATCCAAATTATAGTTGTTTTATTTTTCTTCTCCACCATGAAAGACTTACAAAGTTGTGATCTAAAAGATACCCGTAGTCCAGATATGGAGGCTCATGATTGTAATCCCAGTGCTTTGGGAGGCAATCTCTACCCCTCAATAAAAAATAAATCAAATTAAAGATAGATACCTGTAAAACATGCTCTCATATATAATTACAGCGATTGGTTTTTCAGACCAGTCTGCGAAAGCCCTTGCCACACAACATATCAATGAAAACATTAACACTTCTAGGGAACATAATATCCTTTGCACATTGTTTTTAATGGAAAAGCACATTTCAAGCTTAAGCTGGAAAGTACAGAAATGCAGCATCCCCACCTTGCTTTTGCATCTTGCCTGCCACATCCTGGACTCTCCCCTGTCTGAACTTGGGGGCCAGCGACAGGTGGGGGTGGTACATGACACGCTGGCAGGGTGAGGGGCATGGCCTGCAGGGCTTCGGGTGTGAACGACACCAGACGGGGGGTGGGGGGAGGCGCGGGCTCTAGAGTTGTGTGACAGTGCAGTTCCAAGAGGCAAGCTTCTGGGAAAGAGAATCAGCCTTAGGTCCAAATTGTGAACACTGTGGGAGGGAGCAAGGTCATGGGACCTCATTTTCCCATCAGTCTTTATAAATAAGATACAAGCTCCAGATTGTAGATTTCCAAATGTATGATTGCACTGTTAATATTTCTTGGGAACTATTAACTGAAGTTTTGATCATTATAATTTTTTGAATTCTACATGCCTGTACATTTAGAAACCATGTTTGCAGTCTTAGTTATAGTTGGGACAGGTGGCGTTCTGCTTTCCATGTTGGTTGGAAAAAGGAAAGGAGATAGAAGAATGTCCAGTGTGCTCCCACTCACTGAGACGGCTGTGGGGAAAGCTGCTTTTTCCACCCCCCACCCCCACCTCCCACACTGCGTGCTTCTGCCTACCCTCTTCTTGCCTTAAAGTGAGTAGTATGCTTAAGGTTGACTGGTTGCTGGAGAAACAAGGCAATTCTTTGTCCTATGGTCAATCTGAACTGAGACTGTAGAGTCAGTCGGTGTTTTAAAAAGAGTATACCCTAAAGTGACTATATCAAGACCAAGAAAAATCTCCTGAATGTTCTAGGTAACAAACTAGTCGTTTAAGAGTTTTGGCTGTGTGCAGTAACTCATGCTTGTAATCCCAGTGCTTTGGGATACTGAGTCAGGAGGATTGCTTGAGGCTAGGTGTTTGAGACCAGCAGGTCTCCATGTCTACAAAAAGTACAAAACTTAGCTGGGTGCAGCAGTGTGCACCTGGAGTCCCAGCCACGCAGGGGGCTGAGGTAGGAGGTTCCTTGAACCCAGGAGTTTGAGGCTGCAGTGAGCTATGATCTGCACCACTGTACTCCTGCCTGGGCAACAAAGTGGCACCCTGTCTCAAAATAAAAAAAAAAAGAGAGTTTACATATGTAGAATACTCTAGTCAACTAGTTCAAATTTAATGATGACATAAAAATATATAATTCATATTAGACATGTTAGATATTTTTTAACAATAATGCAGAAATGATTATCTAGTACTCAGGATTTTCCTGAACTTCGACATTTGTATATTTTTCTTTTGCTATAAATGTTGATACATTATCTAAGCTGACCATATTTTATTGAGCTGCTGCTGTATATAATATTTCTATGAACATGACATAACTCATGGCACATCCAAATGTGTAAAATAAAGCAAATTATAGCCATTTTCAGTAGCAGGAAACTGCTGGGGGTGGGGGGTTGGGGGAGACGGGATTGGCAGTAGTGGGAATCTGTGAGGGGAGGTGCGAGGGACATCTCATCAACAAGCATGCCTGCATAATGAACATTTGTATACCTAACCCTGAATTGTACCCCTTATCTTTAAAATAAAAAAAAAAATTATAGCCATTTTTTCACTCTTTTCCTTTGAAATGGGAACCATATAAGGTGTAAAGAAAGCTGCTTGAAACTTTGCAGTGATAGTGATAATTATAAACTAGTGACTTTTATTTTATTTTTATTTTTGAGTTGGAGTCTCACACTGTCACCCAGACTGGAGTGCATGTTCCCGGCCACTGCAACCTCACCCTGTTGGGCTCCGGTGATCCTTCCGCCTCAGCCTTCCAAGTAGCCAGAACTACAGGCACTCGCTACTACACCCGGCTAATTTTTGATTTATTGTAGAGAGGAGGTCTCACCAAGTTGCCCAGGTGGGTCTCGAACCCACAGGCTCAGGCAATCTACTCACCCCGGCCTCCCAAAGTGCTGGGATTACAGGCTGAGCCACCAAGCCCAGCCATAAACTGGTGACTTTTAAATGTTACGCTTTTACTTATCGGACTCTGGGAGGTAGAAAGGCCAGAGACCAAGAAGTACATTCAAGCAGCACTGGCCTGTCCAACTTACCTAGTAATAATCTGGCTGTTAACAGTTTATTTTCCATGGGGTGGATGTATCTTTTTAAAGCCATGTGTTGCATTTCCCATTTTTTTCCTCCTGACTTCCTTCTCTCTTCTGCAGGTCCACATGAAGGATGTTATGTCAGCTCTGTGGGTTTCAGGGCTGGATTCCAGTTATTTACGGGAACAGATGCTGAATGAACCACTCGTGCGAGAAATTGTCAAGGAGTGCAGCAACATACCACTTAGCCAGCCCCAGCAGGGAGAGGCCATGCTGGCCAACTTCAAGCCCCGAGGCTACTCTGAGTGCATCGTGACTGTGGGTGGGGAAGAAAGAGTGTGAGTACGAGTATGGGCACGAGTTGTGTGGAAAGGGGCACATGGGGAAGGCAGTCCATGAAATGGGACTCATCTTTTCGGTGTCTGAAGCATAATGGTGATAGATTTTTTAAATGTTTTGAGCATCCTTTAGTATATTAAACTAGTGATGGTTACTTAGAAGCTGAATTATATGCAACACATTCACTACCGATCAATTATTTGTCTCTTTAGTTCCCGGAAGCCCACCGCAGCGATGCGATGCATGTGCCCTCTCTACGACCCTAACAGGCAGCTGTGGATCGAGCTGGCACCATTAAGCATGCCAAGAATTCACCATGGCGTTCTCTCAGCAGGTACCGTTCTGTGGCCAGTTGTACTTAAACACAAGGTCAAGTAATACCCCATTTCAGGGTTGGGCAGAATAACTCAAAGCCTTTGAAAGACAGAATTTTATTATCGCTGCATGGTGACATTCTCAGTGTAGGTCTAGCTCTTGAGACTGTGGGTAGGGGCAGGGTATCTTCTGTCAGTCCATGTCACCCCCAGATCTTCAGTACAGGGCTGTTCCTAAGAAAGTACTGGGGAAGCATTTACTTGGTGACAACTGTTGGAAGAGCGCGCTTCAAGGTTCCAAGCCCTCACTAGCGAGGAGGCCACACCTGGAGCATAGAACTTCTTTGTGCCTTGAGAGACCCGTTTTTGAAATTCACGCAGCTTAGAATTATATTATGTAGATATGTTACATAACGGCAGGCATTTTTTATGAGACTTTAGGAATTATTTCTTAAATTAGCAATGGCTTAAAGTTATCTTACAAGTTTAAAAACTACTCCATGTTGTTCAAAGCTCTCCCAAAAGGAGTACCCAGACAAGGCTGCCATGGCCATCTCACCGCTGCATGCTGCCTTTCTCTTCACCTTGATCTTGCCCCTTTGGGTTCACCCAACAGGTGCTGTTTCACACAATTTTAGAGACAGGGTCTTGCCATTTCCTAGGTTGTAGTGCAGTGTTTTGATCATAGCTCACCACAGCCTCAAACTCCCGGGCCAGGTGATCCTCCTGCCTTAGTCTCCCAAGTAGCTGGGACTAAGGAGCATGCTGCCATGCTGAGCTGATTTTGTGTGTGTGTGTGTGTATTTTTTGTAGAAAGACAGTGTCACTATGTTGCCTGCACTGTAAAACTTTTAAAGCTGCACTCTAGCATACCACACCATAAAAGTGGCTACGGCTATGCCATGGTATGGAAATGGAATCATTTGATGAGTCCCCAAATCATGGAAGTTATTGTCATAATGAAGAGCTAGAGGAGTGTAGCCAACAGGATGTGGGTCTAGTTTCCCTGTTCTGTCTTCTCAGAATTAACTTCCTTACATTTTCTTCCCATAGTACATATTCATGTTCATATTTTTCACACATACACACCTATCACAAAGGTTCCTATAGTGCTCAGTTTTGATGGTTTTCTGGAGGGACTAGTGTTTCAGAAACCAAACAACAAAGAGAGCAGCTGGGTATGGTTGTATTGACTGAAGCAAAAGTGGTTGAATAGTTCCTTTTGTTTGTCCAACTGCTCTGTTTCTTTTCTTTAAATTTTTTTGAAGAGACGGGGTCTCACAATGTTGCCTAAGCTGGTCTTAAACTCCTGGGCTCAAGCAGTTCCCCCACCTTGGCCTCCCAAAGTGCTAGGATTACAGGTGTGAGTCACAGGGCTCAACTGCAGATCATCCTTTTGAATTTCCTTTAATGTGGTTCTTTTGGTAGAAAGTTCTTAGTTTTGTTTGTCAGTAGATACCATTATTTTGCCTTCATTCTTTTTTTTAATCTTTCATTTTTTTAAGATTCAAGAGGTACAAGTACATGTTTGTTACATGAGCATATTGACCTTCATTCTTAAAGAATATCTTTGCTGGGTATAGAATTGTAGTGAGATATTTATTACATTTCACCACATTGACAATGTTTTTTCACTGACAGTTGTCAAGTCAGTTAAGTCAGTTGTCAGTTTAAAAATCTTTTTCTCTGGAGTCTACTTAAAATTTTTTTTCCCTGCCATTTTGCTACAGTGTACTTAGGTGTATATTTTATTTAAATTTTTATATTTGAGGATTTTTGGGCATCTTGACTCTGTGGCTTGACTTGTCACCAATTCTGGAAAAGTTTTATCTATTATGTCTCTAGATATTATCCCTGCTTTATTTTCCTGTCTTTCTCTGCCTTTGGAAGCCATATCAAATACCTCTGTACCTTTTTACTCCATCCTCTGCCTCCCATCTTTTTGTTATTTCCCATCTATTTTTTCTCTCCATGCTATTCTCTTGATGATTTCTTTTGATTTATCTTCTGTTCAATGGATTTTCTCTTCTACTCTGAATCTGCTATTAAAATTATCCATTGATTTTTTTTTTATTTCTAAAAGTTATCTTTAAATCTTTCTCAAAAGCCGGGCTCAGTGGCTCAGCCTGTAATCCCGTGCCTTTGGGAGGCTGAGGTGAGTGGATTGCCTGAGCCCGCAGGTTTGAGACCTGCCTGGGCAACTTGGTGAGACCTCATCTCTACAATAAATCAAAAATGAGCCGGGCGTGGTAGCGTGCGCCTGTAGTTCCAGCTACTTGGAAGGCTGAGGCGGAAGGATTGCCGTAGCCCAGCGGGTCGAGGGAGCGGACACTGCACTCCAGTCTGGGTGACAGAGTGAGACTCCAACTCAAAAAAAAAAAAAAAAAATCTTTCTCAAGTCTGCTGTTATTTCTATGTTCTATGTTTTCTAGTTCTATGTTTCCTAGAATTATCTTGAAATTAACTTTTTTAAAACATGATAACGTTGTTTTATCGTGTTTTTTGACTACTGTAATATTTCAAATGTTTGTAAGGCTATTTCCTATTGTCTGCTTCTGCTGCTTCTTTTCATAAAGTCTAATTTGTTCATATCCTTGAATATCTTTGGCTGGATGCTGATCATTTTATTAAGAATTATTTGTAGGAATAATTTGATGCATAAAGTCTTAGAATGTTAGAACTTAAGGCTTTGATGAAGGTACTTTCTTCTACAGAAGTTGTGTATTTGTTTCTGCCAGTTCCTGGAGACATTTCTAACTTGACACTACTGTAAATCAGAATTTCCTAGACAAGCAAAGAGGTTTAAATCTGAGTACTCACTCTGGTTGGACTTCATCCTGGTGGTGTCAAACCTAGGAGGGAATCTCCTGCCAGAAGTCATACCTTCTTTGGGCCCAGAGCTTACATTTCTGACTTTCTCATCTCCAGGACAAAAGGCTTAATGTTTCCCCTGCTATTGGCAAATGCTCTAAGAGCAAAATGGTGTTCGTGCTTGGTGACCTCTGTAGAGCCCCTTTTTCCCTTTAGTCTTGTATTATCTTGTTGGCTGCTTCTCTTGTATGAAGATTATATTTTAAATGTTTTATTCAGCAACTTTGGTGTTTTTTGCAGAAGAATAACTTAATCCACCATTATCCAGAACAAGAAGTTCAACGATTCCCAGATCTGAGTATTCCTGGGACCTGGGATTAGCTGGTGTGGACTGTGCTTGAGAAGTTTCATGAGAATCATAGGGCTTGGGTAATAGGTGTACTGAGATGACCCAGAGTTGCCTGGCACTGGGTGGGTGGGGTCAGTCTTCCTGTTATGCTATAGGGTGGTAGGAATCCACTCAAGATAGTCACAAGTAAAACAAAATGGTCGAAGTGACTCACAGATTTGGCTCTGTCACCAAAGATCAAATGAAAGTGATAAAAGTCCTGAATCCAAAGAGAAGAGTGTTGCCATCAGAGGTTTCTCCAGCTGCTGTCCATGTGCTATGGCATTTGTAGGTACTGAAGACTTACATTTTGGATTTCTTGTGTGTCTGATTTTTGCAGAGGGATTTTTGTTTGTTTTTGGGGGCCAAGATGAAAATAAGCAGACACTGAGCTCGGGAGAAAAGTACGACCCAGATACAAACACGTGGACTGCACTGCCACCCATGAGCGAGGTAGGACACTGGCTTTGTCGGATGTGTGTCTTTCTCCCCTGGGCACCTCAGTTTGCCTTGTGTCCAAGTGAGGGAAAAAAAGAAGCAGGACCCACCAGGCCTTCTTCCTAGCACCCTCCAGGCTCCCCTCCTAGCTCCTCCCCTTCCTTGCTGGTGCAGACCTCTAGACAGGCCTTCAGACCTTCCAGGAACGCATTTGCTGTGGATTCGCTTCCCTGTCCCAGCCATCTTCCCCTGACGCCTGATGGCCCACGTCCCACCTCCCTCGAGTGTTTGCTCCCGTGGCACCTGCCCGACGGGACCTCCCTCTGCCTCTCAGCTCCCGGTCCCCTCTCAGCACCATGTCTCACCTCCTCACAATCCAGGCATTTAAAGTTTTTACGGAAGCTCTCTGACAGCAGGATTTCGTCTGCTCAGGCAATTGTTTCATTTTCAGGCTACAGTAGGCATGTGGGGGCCCTGTGTGTTGACAGATGAATGTTAAATACCCAGGGTGTCTGCAGTTCCAAATAGCCTTAGCATGACCCTGTTCACCCACTACCTCTCCCAGCCACTGGGCAGTCCTGTTGCTGTGGCTCTCACATGTCTTTCACACATCAGCTTGGAAACAGTTGCTGCCTGTTGCTAGACAAAAATGATGTAATTGAACTAGAGATAATAGTTCTTTTTCTTGTTGTAAGCTATTATGGGTTAAAGAGTAACGATTCTGCTGGTGAGTTCACCTATTTTATATATATTTTATATATATTCCTTCATAATGCACAAATATCAGCTTTTAGTATAACCGCTGGCCTTTTGCATACAAGGATCTCCAATGTCTTTTCAGGCCAGACATAACTTTGGGATCGTGGAGATTGATGGGATGCTGTACATCTTGGGAGGGGAGGATGGTGAGAAGGAGCTGATTTCTATGGAGTGTTATGACATTTACTCCAAAACCTGGACCAAGCAACCTGATTTGACCATGGTTCGAAAGGTGAGAACTATGTCTTATGAGAACTGGTTTGTTTACAAATGGGACTTCAAAGTTAATGCTTCTCTATTTCCTGGCTTTGCCTTTAATACAACTGGTAGTGTTCCAAGAACGAGCATTACAGAATTCTGTCTTCCTTGGCAGCTTGCCCTCAGCCATCAGCCACACACCAAGATAGGAAGGTGAGCGTGTGTGCGCATTGACCCTGCTGTGGGCCCTGTGCAGCACCACCGTGTGCCAGGCACTGTGCTCAAGAGGTGCTCTGTGTAGGCACTGGCCTGAGCAGCAGGCAGGTTTCCCCCACCACTGCTCTTGAGCACCATACTGAACTGGAGAGAAGCATGGGTCTGCAGGAGTTCTGAGAGGGAAAATATGACTCACCTGGATGTCAGTCAGAGCGTGGTCTCTTTACTGGCATTCCCTGCTGAGGCAGGGAGCTCTCCAGCCAGCCTAAGCTTTGCTGTAGGTATTTAAAATCTTTGGGAACTGGAAGATACTTATAATATGTTCTCTCATGTGTGCCCTTTCAGTTTCATTATTTGGACAGGAATTGAGTGGCATCTCTTTCCATGGAATCTGAATTTGGAATCTTCAAATACTGGTGAAAGAACAGAAACCAGAAAGCTCTTTTAAAATTAGGATTCTTTACTTATCTCACTTAATGAAATAGTGTCAGATGGAGTAAGAGCTCCTTTTCTGAGGATTAATAATATGTGTCTTACCTCACATTTCTCATTTTTAAAGCCCTGTGTTGTAATATTAGAGAGCACCATAGTTTTACTATTAGAAATCATATCCTGCCAGGCACAGTGGCTCACACCTATCCCAGCACTTTGGGAGACTGAGCCGGAAGGATTGCTTGAGCCTACGAGTTCGAGACCAGCCTAGGTAACATAGTACAACCTCACCTCTACAAAAAAATTTTTAAAAATTAGCCAGGCATGATGGCACGTGCCTGTAGTCCTAGCTTTTTTGGGAGGCTGAGGTGTAGAGGATTGCTTGAGCCCAGGAGTTTGAGGCTGCAGTGATCATGCCATTGCACTCCAGCCTGGGTGGCAGAGTGAGACCTCGACTTAAAAAAAAAGAAAAAGAAATTAGATCCCTTCCTAAATATTTAAAGTTCTCTTTGGACAGGTTAGTATTTATTCATCTAACCTTAATAATAAATGTTGCCTTTTCCCGCTTTTGTTTTCCCCTTTCAGATTGGCTGCTATGCAGCTATGAAAAAGAAAATCTATGCCATGGGGGGAGGATCCTATGGAAAGCTTTTTGAATCTGTGGAGTGTTATGATCCAAGGACCCAGCAATGGACTGCTATATGTCCTCTAACAGAGAGGAGGTATGTGGATGTGGACATGGACTTTGTGGATTCCCTAGCTGCTCACTGGGCCTGAAGAATCTTTCCCTGGCTTTGTTCCTCTTTTCTTTCAAAGTAGCTGTTTATTTGACTTGGCATTTCCTGGAAAAGGAAAGCCCACATAGTCTGAAACTTCGAAGGTTGCAAAGTTAAAACTAGCCTGGGAGGATTTCAGGAATCAGGTCTGGAGTTGTAAATCCAACGCCCGACTTGCTGTGTGTGGCCTTTCAGATTTGGAGCCGTGGCCTGTGGAGTTGCCATGGAGCTGTATGTGTTCGGGGGCGTCAGAAGCCGCGAGGACATCCAGGGGAATGAGATGGTGACGTGTAAGTCCGAATTCTACCATGATGAGTTTAAAAGGTAATTAAGACGGCCCCACGCAGCTTCTGTGGCTTTTTCTTTGTACTTTCAAAGTCATGTTTTACCTTTGTTTAGTTCTATGTTCAGGTTACTTCACTGACTTACCTATTTATAAGATATGCCTAATGCAGACTACTTATTTATTTAGTGACTTCAGAAATATTGATAACTTAAAGGAAAATCCTCGAAAAAAATACAAATCAGATCTTAACATTTAGTTGCTTAAAATCATTTGTTGGCTCTGTACAGCTTTTCGGAAGAAGAATAAACGCCCTAGCTTGGCATATATGGCCTTTATCTATGTTTTCTGCTACTGTCCAACCCAGATGCTTCACACTGAGCCACTTTTCCCACCCAAACATGTATGCTTGTTTCAGATCTGTACTTGAATGCTATTCCTTTCTCCTAAAATCTCTCTTCCTATTGTTCATCTAGTCAGTCTGTCCTTTTTCAAAACTGCATAATTATCACTACTTAGAGAAAGCCTTTTCACATCTCCCAGTCTGATTTAAATTCCTCAGTCTGGGTCCCACAGCAAATCCATGAGTGCCCTCTTGAGTTTGAACTGGTGACTATAGCAACTCCAGGGCAAGGCCCAACCTAGTTGTCTCTGTGTCCCAGCTTCCAGCATCCTCCCACACCTGTATTAGACGCTCAAAAAAGTGTCGATTAAGTGACAGCATGGTGTCTGGGAGTCTTAAAACATCTGATGAGCTGCCATTTGTGTCTTGGAGAATAGATCACTCTTTCTTGACCTCCTCTCTCTCCTCCCCTCACACATTTTATTGTTATAACCACTGAACAGTATTTTTATTTCAGTGATACATTCAGATCCTACGGGTAGACTGCAAAGCTAAACATAATCTTGTTAGAGCAGGGATCCCCAACCCCCCAGGCCACAGACTGGTGCTGATTTGTGACCTGTTAGGAACTGGGCCACACAACAGGAGGTGAACAGTGGGTGAGCAAGCAAAGCTTCATCTGTATTTATAGCTGCTCTCCATCATTTGCATTATTGCCTGAGCTCTGCCTCCTGTCAGATCAACAGTGGCATTCGATCCTCATAGGAGTGTGAACCCTATTGTGAACTATACATGTGAGGGTTCTGGGTTGCACACTCCTTGTGAGAATCTAATGCCTGATGATCTGAGGTGGAGCTGAGGCAGTGATGCTAGTGCTGGGGAGTGACTGCAAACACAGATTCACATGAGCAGTGAGGTTTGACTGCACAGAGACCACAATAAATCACTTGCCTGCAGACTTATATCAAAGCCCTATCAGCGAGTGGCAAGTGAGTTGATGTACTTCAGTTGTAGAGCTGCATCTGACATGCTTGAAGTCAGAATCTGACACTTTTTTTAGTCTGTACATGTTCTGCCCAATATTTTATTTACCGCTTCTGTCCACACCTGTTTTTTATTATGGTTAGTTGTATAATTATTTCATTATATATTACAACATAATAATAATAGAAATAAAATACACAATAAATGTTATGCACTTGAATCATCCTGAAAACATTCCCTTCACCCCTCCCCTCCAGTCCTTGGGGAAATTGTCTTCCACGAAACCTGTCCCATCATGATGCCAAAAAGTTTGGGGACTGCTGTGTTAGAGCATTTCATTCATGTTACCAGAAGAGGGCGCTGTCATATAACATTTAATTTTATATTATTTTAGATTAGGACAGTGAGCAGTTACCAGAATGTCAAAAATTATATATAAATGTTGCTTAACCTTTAATTTAATTTATTTTAATTTTAGGATATTTGCACGGTCTTTTTTTTTTCAATTATAGGAGCAGACTATCTTAGGAAAATGTCTTAGACTAAGTATGAGAGCAGCTTAGCGGATATTTGCTGTAGTAGGGGTAGGGGGCAGAATTTCAAAGAACTTTCTCCATTTCTCATTCCTTAATATATGACTGTGGGGCTGGCTGGCCAGGAGAGGAAGGTTTATGTTAGATTCCTGCCCAAATGAATCTCAAGACTGTCTGATCAAATTCATTAATTAGCAGTGGCCAGTGTGTTTGGTTTCTCATAAAATAGTGATATAAGCCTTTTTCACAATGACCGAATTACTGTGTAAACAGCATGAGCTGGTAACTTGCCTGCTTGAAAAATCACATTTGCTTGTGTTTTTACCCTTTTCTGCCCTGGTTTTGATTGTGTAGGACTTAACTCAGCCCAGCAGGCTTCTCAGTCTGCCCTTGATGTGCTATAAATTACTAGAACCTTTGTATTTCTATCAGATTGTTTCACATTTGTGGTTGATGAGTTTTAAATATAACTATATTACTGGCTTTAAGTTCATGATTATTAAATGTAAGAATGTTCTTCCCTAGGTATGAAAAATCCTGCTGGGTTACAGTGTGCACAGGTAGGGGTGGAGGGCAGACTGAAAACCCATGCTCCTTCTCCACTGTGCAACCCATGGAGCCAAAAATCATTTGTATACTCAAAGCTGTTGGGGTTGGAGTGGAGGAAGAAGCTCCTCCTTCCTTGCTATTTAAAAGCACTTCCAAAGAAAATTCATGTATCTTCGGTTTTTTTATTTCTAAGCTCTCCAGTGTTAGTTTGCAATTAGAGAAGAAAGCCATTAGTTTCTGTTATGAATATATTATATAGGATTTTTACGTGTTTAGATAATATTAAACACATATAATACCAGCGCCATATATTAACTCGTTTAATCTTCACAGCAGCACTCTGAGGTGTGGGTACTACTATCATTCCTCTTTTACATATGAGGAAACCAGAGCCAGAGAAGTTAAGTCGCATGGCCAAGGATACAAAGGTAACAAGTGGCAGAGATGGAATTTGAGCTCTGGCATTCTGGCTCCGGAGTCCACCTTTTGACTGCCACACTGCATTGACTTAGAAATATAGGCTTTCCAAGGAAAAATTTAATAACATAATTTTACTATATAAAATTGGAATACATGAAGGTATAAAGAAGACAAAAATATAATTTGAAGACTCAAAAATAACCACTGTGTGTATCTTGATGTATTTCCTTCCAGTTGCTTTTTCTACAAATGCATAAATAAATGTGTTTAATTATAAAAAAGAAAGAAAGAAAGAAATATAGGCCTTCCCATAAATATCTATAGAGCAAAATAATATGTAGGAGTACCTTATTTCTTAAAAGACTGGCTGTTTCCAGGCGTGTTCTATTTGCGAACTATGGAAGCCGTAGCCAAAAGAGCAATCTGTATTCTATTGGAGACCATTTGGGTTGTTTTTAAGTAATCTCTTGTCTTTCCTGTCTTTGTTTCCTATTTTTAGGTTAAAACTTTCCTGGAAAAATGCCATATCTTACCCTTTTCTGTTTTTCTGGGTAAAAGCAAAACTGTCAGAAGGAAAGCAAAGAAATTGCCATAAATTACGTTCAAGTCATAGTAACAATACCCCCAGAATGACAGTTTCTCTATTTCTGTTCTTCATGTCCCTTCTCTGTTACTAACATGACTGTCCTTCTGGTCCTCCATGCACATGGAGGCTCATCTTAGGTTCTGTCTTGCTTGGTGTCTCATTGGTTGCTGAGTCTTATGTTTTTTAAACTCTATGGGGTTTTCACCTTCACCCATTCCCGTTGCTCTGCTGCTGTCCTGGTGCAGACATTCCTCCACCCGCAGTGTCTCAGCCCCAGCCAGGCTTCACAGATGCACCCACCTGTTTGTTCTTCTGGAAGGTGAATCTGACAAGAACTTCGGTCATGTCATTTTCCTGCTCAGAATTCTTCAGATTCCCAAGCTTACCTAATCAAGATAACCGCATCTAGCCCCTATTGCAGGGTTCCCATGATCTGAGGTTAAGAAACGTTGTCCCCTTTTCAGTTTCTTGCCTTCACCTGTCTGGACTCCACTCACTCCTTACAACCCTCCTGGGTTTGGCAACTCAGCCTAGAGGCCCCACTTTCATTTTTTTAGACAGTATAAACCATTCTTTGTAGTAGAGATCTGTCCGTTTCATCTTTTAATTCCTGAATGTATCATTGGAATACACATACTTGTCAGCTGGCAGAATCCCCGTCCTGGTTCTCTGACTCTTGGATTCAGGGTCATTATGGCAGGAAGGGCTAAGTTGGAATCCCTGGAACTTTCCAAGATAGAAAGTCAAAAGCAATACTGCATCCTGGCACAATTTGCAGAAATTATACTATCATCAAACACTAGAGAATGCAGGCGTGGTGATACATATCACATTCCCGCTTAATTCACTTAGAAAAAGTAGAAAAGTCAGATGGATCTTGGAAAGTGTGTACTTTCGTAAACTTAATCAGGTGAATAGACTGACCACAGATTCTGTCCCAGATGTAGCATCTTTACACAGCACAGTTCCTGGCCTGGGTATGCAGCTATTGACATAGCTAATGTGGGTTTTTTTTTCATACCAATTTGCACAGTCACTGAAAGCAGTTTGTTTTTGCCTGGCAGGGCCAACAGTACATATGTGCTGTGTTGCCCCAGGACTGAGTCAGCCCTGCTACCTACTCTGTGTTTGTCCACAGAGATGTCGATCATCTTGATGTTCCACAAAACATCACATTGATTTACTGCATTGTGCTGTTGTTGACTGCATTGTGCTGTTTGTATCTGATGGTTAGGAAGAAGCAGGTACTTCAGATGCCTTAGTGAGACATGTGACCTAGAGGATGAGAGATGAACCCACCCCTGACCACGTCTGCTTCAGTCATAGTTCAGTCAGGAGACAGAACCCACATCAGTAATTTGAGCAGGGAAAATATAATACACATAATTACTAACTAGTAATAGTAATTATGGTGGTTAGCTACTGAAAGAAGTGAAAGAGGACTCTGAAGAATGCAGAAATAGGCCGGGCTCGGTGGCTCAGCCAGTCATCCCAGCACTTTGGGAGGCCTAGGCAAGTGGATTGCCTGAGTCCATGGGTTCAAGACCAGTCTGGGCAACTTGGCAAGGCCTCGTCTCTACAATAAAATTTTTAAAAATTAACCAGGTGCGATAGCCTGCGCCTGTA